GAAAAACAGAAGGAAAAAAAAATACTCCTAAAAGCAGAAGAAACATTTTTTCCGAAAAAACAGAAGAAAAAATATTACTTCGTCATATCTGTGTTTACATGTGTCATGTCCTTTATTTGCATTGTTTCAAACTGGAGAAACATGGATGTTACACTCTGCAAATATCCAACAATCTTCTGATATACTTCAAGAGGACTTTCTCTATGAAGGGTGTTGTTCTTCCTGATACTCACTGCAGATCCCTGAGCATCCAAAAACCCTGAAGAGTTGAAGGCACCGTCTGTGTCGTTAAGTAGAAGCTGAAGAAGACACAGAAGCACAGTGTGTGAACTTCCTCACTGAACATTGTACAGCTCCACCCTGCGTAGCTGTAGTCAGGTGCTACTTACATCCTGGAGGTTGACGATGGGTCCTGGAGGTCCAGGTGGTCCTGCAGGGCCAGGAATACTGAGTCCGTCTCGTCCCATCTCCCCCTGTAGTACACATTTGATATTTAACACATTTTAGCAAACAGCAACATGGAGTCACCTGAATGTCGGAAGTGTCTGTGCACCTGTGAGTATCTCACCTTTTGTCCTGGATCACCTTTGTCCCCCTTTGCTCCCTGCACATGACACAGAATAAAGCAAAATCAAACATACAATTGTTTTCTGTCACTATTGTTGTGATTTTCACAGGTTTACACATAATTATCATGTAGAAGGACAAAAATAAACAGTCCAGATAGAATCAAAAAGGCTCTCTGGTAGAAGTATATTTAACAGAAGTATATGCTGAGGTACTTCTTTGCAGTTTAAGAGGGGACTTTAAAGAAGCCGTGTTTGTGAAATGCTTCTTTTCTTGTTGACATTTTACACATTTAATTTGGGATCCAGTCATGAACCTCAGTCATTACATGTTTAAGCTCATGAAGATTTGTGTGAAAGTTGACATTTTAATGAAACCATTAATCTATTGATGTGTCTGTAAGTGGATCCATTTCCTGACCTCTGCCCCTTTCAGCCCCTCCAGTCCTGGAAACCCTGGTCGTCCTGTAACACCTGACTCCCCCTGCAGAGGCAACGAAGAATCATCCACCACGCTCCATTCATTAGATTAGATTAGATTAGATTAGATTAGATATACTTTATTCATCCCACAACGGGGAAATTTACACACATCACAGACACGATGATCTCATGGTAACATGCATTTCTTATATTCACATTCAGCCAGTAAATATGAAAAATAAATAAATAAATAACAAAAGGACTTGACACTGAATATTCCTGTCTGACTCTTGCATGACACAGTCCCTCTTTTCTAATTTGCAGAAACACATCTGAGCGAGCGGAGCAGGAGGACGGCTGAGATAATGGCCACAGCACACTCACCTTTTGCCCTGGATTTCCTGGAGCGCCGTCTAAACCGTCTTTACCCTACAAGAGGCAAAGATAAACCAGTTTAAAATTCAAGATGCTCACTCCTCTGAACTGTAGAATTAAATATATCTGTGTCAACAACAAAGGGAAGCCTGTGAATAAAGTTTAAAGTAACTAATGAGCCTTACATTTGGTCCTGGAGCTCCAGGAAGACCCTGTGGAAAACAGAGGTAGATTATAATTTGTGATGCAACAAGTTGACTAACGACATCAAGAAAATACGTGACGACAAAATATGGAGCAGACACGATCACTGTACCTGTGGACCTGGGGAGAAAGTGGAACCTAAAGCACCCTGCATCGCAGATCCTTCCAAGTCCTGCAAAACAAATCATGGAGATGAGGTCACACCCACACAACCTGAGAGAGCAGATCATTTGGTGCCATCACAAATTAGTAAAAGGTCTACATAAAATAACCAGGTGAATTTAAAAAGCATGTTTTTATGTGCTACTCATTTCAAGCTAATCTAGAAATATGAGAAATAAAAGCAAGGATTCTGTAGATACATATTTGGGAGAAATGTTGTCAATCAAAAAAGTTTGATTCTTAAACATAACTTTAAATAGTAAATCCAGAAACACTGATAAACTTGCAGTGGTCTCGTTATTTGTTTCCAGAGAAGTAAGTATAGATATGATGCTAGAGATGTCATCTTTATTTATTAAACATTAGTCTTGATCATTAAAACTAATATTGTCAGTTTAACAAAAAAAAGTATCCCAGTCAAGCTGTACCTCATAGTCCAATGTGAAGCCTCTTCCAGGGGGTCCGGGGGGGCCCGGGGGACCCCTGGGACCGGGCCGCCCTTCTGGACCCTCTGACCCTGGAAAGCCTGGGATCCCTGCAGGGCCCTGATCTCCCTGAGAGACGGATGAGAAATTGAAAATGTTGATTAAACCATTTTCAGAACTGTATAAAAAAAAAAAAGAAGTTGTAATGTGTAAATACCACACAAAACCCAGTGTAATTATAACCGATATTAGCAGTAATGGCGGATCACTGCAGGGAAATAATCAAATCCTACCTTTGGTCCTGGTTGGCCGCTCACACCAGGGGCTCCCTGTTAACAAATAAAATACAATCACAGCACATTAACTACAGCGACGACAGGAGAGCGAACGTGTTTCTGTTTTGCACAAAGCAGCGACACCCCGGAGACCCTGAGCTTTATTAGTCTGCAGGGTCCCCTCATTAGCAGCGTGGCTCCTGTGTCAGGTGGTTATTTAGATTGTGTGTATCTGTTTTTGCTAACGGAGCAGTAAGAGCCCGGCTCAGGGGAAATTAGAGACACAAGCAGGAGCCACACGAAGGTTTAGGTACGTTCACATAAGAGGAAATAACTCCTTTTCCCATAAAACACTGCAACAATACTACACCTCACCTTGTCTCCCTTCTCCCCAGCAGACCCTGGATCTCCATCTTTTCCATCCACTCCCTGCAAGAATATTTCAGGATTTAGCAAAAAATTTAAAATAAAAGCACATATATTACTTAAATGCAAGAGTTGTGTTATCATTGCTACCAACCATACGTACGCTACGTACAAGCCATCGAGGATAAACTGGGTCAAATGAGGCCGTAATAAAACAAAGCTGATAAGTTCCCAGAAACTGAGGCCAATAAACTTTTTCTGAACTTTAACAGTGAAGTGGATTTTGCAAAAACACGTGAGTCGTCCATTCACACAATTAGTAAAAGCCTGTAAGACAAAAGACACATTTCCCCCAACACATGCTACAGCGGAGACCATGTTCTGAAGCACACGTACACACACACACAGATACACAAGGTGCACACACACACACACAATACTGCACAACAAGCAGTGAAGGAACATGGGTTTTTTAAAATAACGTTGGGGGAAATACTGTCTTTTCAGCCCCTTAGATTTGGGGCCAGATGTTAATACCTGACCAGACCCTGAACCAGACCCAGAACCAGAACCAGTCCAAAAACCAGAACCAGACCCAGAACCACTAAACCAATCCACAATCACCTGGAAACAGAAGCTTGGTCAGGAGAGTGATCGTAAGACGAGAAAACTCATGTTGAAGATGAACTTCCACAAGCTGATAGATATCAGATATTCATTTCTAACCACCGTCTTTCATATTTTAGATATTTTCTTCTTTTATTTTGCTGACAGAGCTGTCAAATGAAAACCAGAGCACAGAAAAAGGAGGAAAGAACGTTGAACCTACAGGGAGTCCAGGTTCGCCCCTCTCTCCATCCTTCCCATCTTTCCCAGGAACCCCAGGTGGTCCAGGAAAGACGTCTCCGGAGGCGGTCCCTGGAGTCCCTGGAGTCCCTGGCTGTCCAGGTGGTCCAGGAGGCCCTGGAGGTCCCTGATGAAGCAAGACAATACATTTAAAAGTTTTGGAAATTGATTGAAAGACTTTAAGATGAGCTGTGTCAGGATAAAAGATTTAAGTTAAAAAGACTTTAACTCACCCGAAGAATTTCTGCATCGCTGTCAAACTCTTCAAATCCTGACCCCTCCTGGTGAACACATGACATGACAATCACCAACAACTCATTAATGATCACAATTAATCAGATATCATATGATGGTTTTTATTAATATAACTGGGGCATACAATTGGCAGTGAACAGAAGTATAATTAACATTAAATACTTTATAATAGTAATCATATTCAGCAGAATAAAGTTTTATCAATAAATGTTTGGATTGTAGCCTGAAGCTCAGCTCGCTCACACCAAAAAGAAAAAAGAAGCTGAATCTGAACTTATTTTATGCTGAATCTCCAAAATAACTTTTAACTGTGTTAAAATAAAAGTTTCATAATTTACCAGGAACATGGACCCCATGCTAGTTCGGCCTGGAGGTCCAGGAGGCCCTGGAGGACCCGGTACTCCAACACCTAGATCACCCTGAAGAAGACACCGTGGGATAATTACTGGATGTTACTGAATTATTCTTTTGCCCCTTTGTATTACTCATGTGTAGGATTGGTCTTTACAAATAATATTATATATATTCAATGTCCAGTAATTGTGGTATTTAATATTATTTATGGTATTTATTTATTTTTTTACCTTTTCTCCCTTAGGACCAGGCTCTCCCTGAAGTCCTGGGAATCCTGGATTCCCAATTGCACCCTGGGAAAGAAACAGCTCAGCTCAGTATACCAGAGACAGAGTCTCATCATCATATCATGTAGCACGCTAACACTTTATCCAGATATAATAAACTGTAGCACTAAATTAGCAACCGTATGTGGAAAATGGGACATTCCTGAATTACTTTTCCCCAAAGACACTAAAATAAGACGCCATATAAATCTACAAAGACTGGAGAGACTTACCGGCGAACCAATTTCACCTTTACTCCCCTGGAGACGAGACAAAAATAGAAAACCATTCATTTGACTTTCAGAACTCACATAAATAACAGACTCTGCTCTGAATAGTTCATGTGATGTTTTATAAAAATAGAAAGTGACGTTCAAAAACAGAACATTGCAAATAAAGTGAAGAAGAAGCATTTACAACTCACAGGCTGTCCGTCTTTCCCTGGTGCTCCAGCAGGACCTGTGGGCCCCTGTGTCCCCTGTGGACCCCGTGGTCCCGGCTCCCCTCCCTCTCCATCTCCTGAGGCTTTCCCCGGAAGGCCAGGGGGTCCTGGTGGACCGGCCGGACCTGGATCCCCTCGCTCGCCTTTCAGCCCCGGAGACACCTGGAGGGACTGAGCATGAAGTGGATTCAAATTAATCTAGAGGAAAATAAGAGATGTGATTACACTAACATTAATTAAGGTAAAGAACAGACTCATTGGCTTTGAGATACTTGAGTATAATGAAGTAATAAGCTGCATCTGGGAGTAAAATTAGGTTAAAGTACACATCTGAGAATAAGTAAGTACTTACAGTGCCCGGTACTGAGGCTGGAGTCGCCGTCAGAGCGGATTGAACTGTGACAGAGAAACAATTTGCTCGTTAGACATTAATCACTTTGATTTTAAACGAATACTTGGGGCGGCTTTTATTGTTTATAAGGCTTATTCTTTCTTCTTTTTAATCAAAGACAGAAATAAAAGGTAGAAAAAGAGATGAAGGTCACAGCTACATTGCCTTTATCACCATCTGCTGGTTCATTTTGAGAAGTACACTCCTGATGGGACTGATTGAATGAATTAATGAATTCACCTCTGACTGTGCTCGTCGCCTCCTCTTGTCCAGACGTCTCCTCAATATCTTCATCATCGTCATAATCCCTGCGTATGGACGTCTCAGTGGGCGGAGCTCGGACCGGTGCGCTGTAAGTGGGGTCCAGCTCTGGGAGGGGCTATAAAAAATAACATGGGAGAAATAAAATAAAAATCAAGATCAGATTTGTTTTTCGTGGAAAAAACTGAATCAGACTTGTAGACATTTAGTTACTCCAGGTTTTACACAGGACAGACTCTGCAGCTCGGAACGGGAAAAGAAGAAACACAATGTTATCAACAGATGTTTTCTCTAAGTCCACAATGATCCAGGTTCAGACTTAAAGCAACATTCCACATGTTGTACCAATCTGCCTCACTGTGCTGCCTCGCTTCAACTTTACATCTGCACTGATTCTACAAGATACACGGTGATGACAGCGAGTCCTGACCCCATAAAAACTCTCTGTCCTGCTTATGAATGATGCCTGAAAATGAAAAGGGTTTCCATCTGTCTTTTAACTCCGCTGATACGATTGAGGGATATTTCTCATCCCGACGGATCAGAACGACTTGGTTATGAGCTGTCAAACCTCTTTGTTCCATGTGTTTGAATCTTAGAGACGTAAGACCGAAAGGCTCTCCAGAGGGCAACAGAGAAGTCAGGGTCAAATTTAATTTGGGCCACACTGGTGTGGATTTGAGGAAGAGAATCTGAGGTAAATCCCCCTGATTCCCTCTGAAAGTCTGTATTCATGGGCCCTTCAGCAAGGCACTGACATCTCCTGAGACCAAATTCTTCTGGTTTGGATGTGAGGTGATTCTCAAATTTCAAGACACATCTGACACTTGCTTTTAACGCACAGTCACCCCTTTAACTTTATTTTTTAAAGTCTTCCCTCTTTAAATTTTAGAAGCATTTCAAAGTATTCTGATGAAGATAATTAACCGTTTCGAATTTGGAAGACATCACAATGCCAGATACCATTTTTCTTGTGATTAAGGCCAAGTAATTTTCTGTATTCTCTAAAGTTGTATAATCTTTAGTCATTATATCTTTCTCCACTCTTTTTTTTTTCTTTCTTTCAGAGGAGGCTGGCAGAGAGCTGCACATTTCACCATGTTCCATTCTCCAGCAGACCTAAAAGGATAAGAGTTGTTTTCTTTGGTCCGAGTCCAGATCAGCTAAATTGGAAGGAGTGCCTAAAACGTGTGTGTGTGTGTGTGTGTGTGTGTGTGTGTGTACCATGGTATACTCTCTCTCCTCCACAATCTTTTTCACTTCTTCTCTTTCTTCAACGTCGTCATAGGCGTCATCACCACTTCCGTATCCAGAGGCCTGGAGAGAGAAATGAGAGTGGGGTCCAAAGATAAACATGGAGAAAGACAGAAATGATTAAACGCTACTTAACAGACAGATTTTATCTGAGCTCAGACTGTGGGATGAGAAAAGTGGATCAGGAAAAAAAAAAAAGAATGAAAAGGAATTAGTTTATACCCAGTGTTTGGTTCCCACAGTTCCAGATTGTTCAAATTCAACTTAATTTAATTCACTCACATCTGATGCAGCTAAAGCTCTAAGCAATAATCGAGGAAAATACATGGTGCAACATAAACTGGTGCTGAATATAAAGTATAGATAGAAATGCATAAATTCAATTTACCATTTTAAACTGAGATTATAGATCACGTATTAAACTAAACAAAACACCTTCTATCGGGAAACGGGTTTGAAAACTACTTAACATGTAAAATAATTTTAAAATTGACAGATGAAAGAGACTTATTCTCACTAATCACGCTTTTATTCCATGTAGAAGAAACTAAACTGGGATGAAACTCAATAAAAATAATCTTAATCCATCTCTAATATTCAAAGTCAAATTGATCTAAATGTGAATATAGACTAATTGTGTGCATTCATCTGATTTTATGAAACCCTTCAAACGCAGGGATTCACTCCCATGCAGCTACAGCAGCATTAACAAGGACGGACAAATATGTTGGCTTTCACTCTGCATTCCAGTTGACCCTAAATTTGATGGATGGGGCTGAGGTCTGGTTTCTGTTGCGGAAGAAGTTGATTGACCAGGGATAACTTGGAAATCATAAAACTGTGGATCTGGTTTTCTGCAGATGAGCGCTGTCATGTGAACATGTTCAACATCCTTTAACTGGAGCAAATACAAGAGGTGGCAAAAGCAAACCGCATTCTTTACTCTTCTTTAATTGTTTTCACGGAGGAAATGTGTACGAGGTATTGAATGAGGTATTATTAATTTAAATAAGGTCCAGGGATGGAGAATGTTTTGTTGATTCTTCACCTTCCTCCATGTTGTTGTAATTAAAATGCATCAAGACAAAAGTAAAAGTGAAAATGTGAGGAGTAGAAAGTTCAGATAATTAGTAAAAAGCTGACAAAAAAAAGTATATAATCAAGTATAACTACCTGAAAAAAGTACAGCAGCCAAGTATTTGTACTTCATTACGTCCCACCTTGGCCATGCACATAAAGGTGATAGACTTGTCTGTATACTTTTGGACAGATAGTTTGATGAAGTGCACTTTTTCCACCAGTAGAGGAGGCGATAGTTCCAGGTTTGGTCTACAGAGGATGGTGTGTGTACTTCTGTCAGACTCAGAGTTTTGGGTGTGTTTTCAGATGTGTGTTTTCAGATGTGTGTGTGTGTGTGTGTGTTTTCATGCACACTCACGTAAGGATCGTCCTCCTCACACTGGTCATCCGGGGCCGTGGGATCTGACTTCAACACCAGCTGCTGGATGGAGCCCTGGAGAAAGAAAGAGGAGGAGGAGAGGAAGAAGACAAGAAGAGTGTTTTATGTTGCAAGGTAATTAAGTTCATTCTGTCTCATTAAAAGTTATTGAAGCTGAGCGGAAGTTTCCCACACACCGACACTCTACCTCCGACCTTCAGCAGGACATCTCTGTCCCTCGTTAGGCCAACACGTTAATACACACGCTAACATTCACACGTCAACATCTCTCGGTGAAGCAGGTGTGTCGTGCTCTGCTCCAAAAAAGGGATTGTTTTTACAAATTCACGTGTAAAATACTTACACGCTTATATCATATTACCAGCTGCTGCACATGTCAGCGGACCTGTGTACGTGTTAAGACGGTGACACTTTAACGCAGCAACAGTTCAGTCGTGATTCATGCAACTGCACGAACATCAGTGCTTCATTAGGCCGAGATTAATGAGTGGAAGCTTGACGGGGTCATCAGGCATTAAACGCAACAATGGAGCTGTGAATTCTGAGCTTCTGTTCGGGGCGTCGCATCTCTAACAGAACTGTGAACCCAATTATTAAGTGCTTGCACGAACTTGTTCACACGTGCAACACTGAGCAGTTCTCTACATCTGAGAGTCTGCGGACCTCTCCTCTAATTAAATCGGCAAAAGGCAATTTCAGCCAAGTTTATTGATATTGACGTCAGGCCAGAGGACGAACACCTGTTTTTAATGGAAACACGGACGATCAAATTCAACAGAGGTGAAGGAGTGAGAAATGGAGAGATTAGAGGGAAAGAGCGAGGGAGGGTGGGTGGATGTGAGTTGGTGTAGCGGCTAAATCGGAGACATGTGTTTGTGCAGCAAACAAAGAAGTTTGTGCCGTACAATCTTCAACACGTTTACGATGTGAATTCGCCCTGAAGTCAAACCACAGAATCATGGATGAATGATGGAGGACAGTTTGTCAAACTTTTTTAATTGCAGGAACATAAACACTTGAAGTCAGCGAGTGTGGATGTGATAGAGATGTTTGAGTGACACGTTTATAATACAGATGACCGAATCCTAACTAGCTTCAGCCTTCAGAAACTAATACACGTGAGGAGACATTAGAGAACAGCAGACATTGTTATTCACAGCGACTCAAGAGGATAAAATACCATGTTGCTGCTAACATTAAAACCTGTTCACAAACTCAAACTGGAAATAAAGATGGAGGACACTGTCCCCGCTTCCTCCCGCTACTCTGAAACTCTCTGGCTTCATTTCTTTTACAGTATGAGGCAGTGGAGGTGCGTCGTCCATCTTTATTTACAGTCGATGATTCTAACAGGAATAAACAACAATAAAGAACTTTTACAAACAAGATGCAGTTTGAAACGTGGACGATTCTGAATAGCTGCTGTGAATTTCAAACTTTACACAGACGAGTGTCACAGACGAGTGTTCACATGAATGTTAACTACTGACCGCAAACTCCTGCTCTGTGTGTGCAGCTACTGACTGAGAGAGAGCTCACGTCATGTCATCACCACTGACTCCAGGGACAACACACATTTAACTCAACAAGTTAAGTGATATATAAAAACTTTTACAAAAGTTGCCTCTCTTCACCACAAGTCGTCCCTAGTTAATTTGATAACAACGTAATCACTGTTATTTAACGCTTAAACCTCATTATACTCATCATTCATTATCTTTTATGGCTAATTCCAGAAAAAAAGTCAATATAGTAATGTTTTACTAAAAGGTGGAGAAAAAACACTGGCGCCAAAAACGCAATTTTATCCAAACTGCCATTTTTATAAGATTCCCAGGGTGATTTTTTTTTACATTATGAGTAAGAAAAACACATTGAGCTTCTGAGGGAGAAGCAGAGGACTCGTAAAATGCATTGCACACTAATGCTCCCTCGCAGATACACAAACATTTCCCTGCACCCAGCATGGAAGCTAAGCAAAGCAGAGAAGAACACGAGTGAATACGTCCGTGTGGCAGGAGATATTTTAGCTCATTTGTTTGCATGCTCGACTGCAGGGAAATGCTGTTGCTGCACGGCTGCAACCGATCTCCCCGGGTGGAGACAGAGGATCTCAGACGGAGCTGCCAGTTCAAACACCGAACAGCTGGAGACCAACACTTACTACTGGTCTCTCTTTGTGTGAGGAGAGGGAGCAGTAAAAAGTGATGGAGCTTTTTGGGAGGAAGAAGATGGACAAAGAGCCTGATGTTACTCATCAGGCTCGCTGGCGGCCTGAGCTATATGTTGGGTGTTCTGGTTGACGCAGTCTGCTTGGTTTTCTGGTTGTGAGTTACAGATATCGGTAACAACGGGCCTGAATTGATTCATGACACTATTCTTCTGTTAAAGAATATTTTTCTTGCATTTTTGTCGATGTAACTTTATCTGTCAGAGCTGCTGTTAAACCACAGTACGTCGTAGAAAACTTTATTTTTTTTAGGTTGTTTCAGAACAAAATCACTCCCCCTCTGAGACTGAGAGATTCCTGAATAAACACACACGCTCCCTCTGCCGAGCTCCTGCACTTCTTTAAATCTCTCCTCCATTAAAATGTTATTGAGTAAAAATAAAGTTGCTTGGCGATAACCACTTCTTTCCATCGTCCTGGCAAATAAAACGTCTTATTTCCGTCACATGGACTCACGCATAAACAGGAAGAAGACGAGGCCTGGTTCGAGTTTTTAAGGTCACAGGTCGCGCGTTTTTTGAATTTAGCCACTGGCCACGGGGTAAGAGAAAGAAAATGTAATCAAAATTCAATTAAATTGCTGAATTTGCACATTTTAAGACTTCGGAATTTAGATTTAACATCTTTGAAGCTCACCTTTCTGGCTGCACTTGCTAAACCTTTGCAGATACATCGTATCGTATAAGCCGTTCAAGATGAGACGGTCGTCTACATACCAAATATGTAAATCACATATGAGTTATGTGGTCTCGCAGGATGAGGCAGCGCTCATAAACACAAGCCGTCATTCATCCCTCGTCTCCTGTGGTGGTCGTAAAGCTGCCAACAAAGACTATTGTGTTCATGTCTCGAATGTAAAATAGGAAACCTCCCAAAACGCCACGTTTGTCTGTCTGTTCCACATCTGCTCTCAACTCGTTTATCCAATGCATCAGAATCTGGGAATTCATAGAACTTCTATGAGACACAGGAGAGGACATTTTTAACTGATGATGTTGTGAGAGAAGTGGGACACAGGATCGGGAGTGTCGCAGCTCAGGGGCTGCATCCTTCGAAGGCTGCATTTCCAATCTCGGAGGCGCCTTCAGTGTCGCCCGAATCGGGACACAGGCTGTACGTGCACACACATGAACAACTTCTCTAGTAAATCCAATCCCTGTCCGGACTCACCACAAACTTCGCCAGGCCTGTGCCCCCGGCGTTTCCCACAAAGATCCCGGAGCTGGCCTCAAACGTCAGTGGCTTCGGACTCCTGGTAAAGGCAACCCGGTGATATTCCTCACAGTCCATGTAGAGACGCACCTGAGAATTTTTGCGCAATCCATCAATTTACGAGCAAAACTCTCATCATCTTCTAACTTTACATGAAGTGTAGAAATCAGGAGATGCAGCCAAAGGTAGAAACTGTACAATTATGATTTACTGTCACGAGACACACAAACATTCTTCACCCAGACAAAGAAAAAGAACGTAGCACAGCCCCACCCACCTCCGCCCCCTGCACCGTCAGGGTAAACCTCGCCCATCGTCCCGTCAGGTCGCCCATTTTGAAGGAAGCTGCTTCCTGGGTCCCAGCTGTCGTTCCTGGGTCAGTGTAGTACAACACGACCCTCTGGGAACCATCTTCCACTTCTGACAACGCTATACCTAAGTGCACAATCTTAACAACGAGATGTCAAAATTAAAAATGGGAAGAGACATATGTGAGTGGAGTTAAACAAAATCCCTGTGACTTACTTTTTGATAAGCATCTGTGATGGCGAACAGCACGCCACCTTGCCGTGTGGTGGGTTTGGCTATGACCGTGACGGCGAAGTCATTGTAGAACGGGTCGGGGATGAACGACTTTGTGAGGCGGCCCACGTTGGCGTCCGGTCCGAAGCTGTAGGCGGGGTAACCCTCGAAACCCGTGACAAAGGAGACGGAGGGGGGGAGGGGGACGCCGATCAGCTCCGTAAGGTCCAAGGCTCCCTGGGAACCGCGCTCTGCAGGAAACAGGGTGGGAACCGTGTTAGAGGACAGGGGAGATGAAAATAAATGTCAGTGACTTACTGACACATTTACATGAGGAAAAATAAACAGATGAAAAGTCGAAAAACAAAGGAAGCTGCTGCTCGACCGAGAGGTCACGCTGAGCTGTGTCTGAACAGCGAGAGTTCAACCAGGTGAGCCTCAATTTCCCAGATTTCTTTTCCACGGCACGTGATCTTTAAACTGATGAGCTCTAAGCATCTTTGCTTTGGTCACACACACACCACATCAAAGTTTCCCAAGAGGGTCGAGACGCAGCTTCCATCTGTCTTATGCCTGCACCCATGTCATCATACGCTCATGCACGGCTGAATGCACATTTGCGTTATATCTGTCCGTCACCCACTTTCTCCAGCACGCCACAGTTATCATATCCCCGACAGACACGCGAGTGCTTTGTGGATCCCCACCTCGCACAACAAGTCTTTTCTCCTCCTCTCTCGGTCAAACACACAGACTCAGTCCCCACAACACCTGGTTCTCCTTAGTGGGACGACCCCTGCAACAATCGCCTGTTGTTATAGTGCGTAGGTGCAGAGGGTATAGACGGCGGGCATCTGGAAGGCATTAGCATCGACTAGTACACACATGCTGCGCAGTGGCAGTTCCTGTAAATTAGGCTTTACCACATGGTGTGTGTGTGTATGTGTGAGCGAGAGAGCGACAAAGCCAAACAGGAAGCGAGGCCCCCTTCCCCCCCCCCCCCCCCCATGCAGTAATAGGATTGAAACCCCTACAGACTGCGGCAATTAAAATACATAACGGTGACGTGCATTTCTGCTGCGTAACCTTCACCACAGCTGATGAGAGCCACGTCATGAGCTGAAACTCAGAGCTGCCTCTGCTGCAGACTCTGCGACGGTGGATGCAGTGAAATCCAAGCCGGCTTAAACATGTGTCGATATTTTACAAATAAACTTCAACTCATTTCCAGAGGATCGAGAATGGAAACGTCACATCCTGGAGTCAGAAATCTGTAACTGGTTTCACCTCGAGACGCAGGCTTTCGTCTTCTCCGCTGTCAGAGGGAGAAGTTCTGCCAACATTCCCACAGCTCGGCCCGTCCCTCCTCGTCGTGTTTGTCCAAAAGTGACATCACTGCAGATGTTCCTCCTCTGGGTCAGAGACGTAACAGCTGGACAGATTGCCATGGAAATTAAAAGATGTCGCTCAAGTTCTCATCGTGCAGCAGCTCTGCAGCTTTACTGTTTGTCCCGTGTCCTGCATCGTCCCTGAGCCAAACTGTGTCTGTCACCAAGCAGCTGATCTTGTTGGAGGAATTTGGCTTCACTTAACGGGATAGTTTCAATTTAATAAAACCAGGATTAATAATGGGAATGAAGCTGTAACAATATGAAACGTGTCAGCGCAGGACGACGTCAGCTGTGAGTAATTCCAGTCAGGGTGGGACTTCTCGGAGTAATCAGGCTTGGCTGAGTCTGAGCACCACCTGCTCTGGAACTGGGCATGAGAAAGAGAGCGGAGAAGAAGAAGGGAGGCTCAGGAGATCCAGTACTTGTCCTCTAGCTAATGCTCACAGTGCTATCATCAAAGTATCATGAATGAAGTACAAGATGCTGCCAGGTGATCAAGTCTTTGAGTCACTGAGGAATTACTGGCTTCAGTGAGGTGAACTCCCTGCTCTGGTTGCATGTGAGAACATGCAACATGATTTCGGTGCGGAGCCATGATGCAATGATGCGTGTTTGCACTATTTTATTAGAAACAAGGACAAGAAACCAAATTAAAGAGAAATGTGAGTTATTGGGTTCATTGTGCTGCAGGTGAATGAGGTTGTGTGTTTGTCGGTTTCTGTTTACACGGTGTCTCGTGGTTGTGTGCCTGCTCTCCTTCCAAATGAGAAACAGACAATCCTTGTGTGTCCTTCAGTGTCAGAGCAAAATCAAGACTGTAATAAACACATTAACACCTGTGAATGGGATTGATGAAGTTACTGATGGTAACACTGATGTTTTCCATATTTCGCTCACATCATTCCGTCCACTCCAGACTAAAGACAACGTGTGTGGTGGGTGTGTAACACAACTGTCAAACTTGTAAAGTTTAGCTCAGACTTTTTCGAAGTTGAGGTCTGATCACAAAGGGGAAAAAGAGAAAGACAGAAATGTGGGTCATAATAATGAGGTGGTGATGGATTTTATTTGGACAAGTCTAACTGGGCCGGAGAACCTCGGCTGTCAGTCAGAGCACAGCAGTTTGTAATGAGCTGCCACACATGACGAGAGGCTCCGAGGCTGGAATCCAACCAAACCTCAATCATCTCTGACTCCAAATCATCAAAGGTCGTCAGACACAGGAACACGTCCACGGAACTTAAGCGTTCACCTCTGCGTACGTGCACGTGCACTACGAGCACTCACGAGCACACTCAGCCGACGTTGCAGCAACGATCAAGAACAAGTGGGTCATGAACTTGATTCGAGCATTTAAAGATGCGAAACCTCAGAGTGACGCGGTAAATCCTCTGCGGCTGTGGTAACGCAGAAACACGCTGCCGCCGCCCACACAGCCGCTCTCTTTGTGTGATTGTCTTGTTTTCATAGAGATTTAAAACTACATTGAGTTGGACTGTGAACTTGTGTGAGGACACATCTGCCAGAAGTTATAGCGAAAAAAGCTCAAACACTCAAGATAACAGCCAGTTCCACACGAAACAAAATAAAGAGATTGCAATAATGGGGAAAAGAAAAGCCGGTAAACAAACAATAGGGCAAACACTGACGTAATACAGATGTGAAATTGCTAATTTCTTGCATTAAAAGTTAAGCTCTTGCTGGTTGATATTGAAATATTGACTGTCCCTGAATTTTTCTTGTGATGTCTGCTATCGTGAAAAGCAGGAAGTCCTCTCTCTCTTAACGTGCTGCATTTCTTATCTTTATATTTCATACTCTGTCGTCTCCAGTGGGAAAACAAAACAATGAAGGAGAGAGAGAGAGAGAGA